TATATATATAACATGATTTTTTCCTGATGAGTCGAGTTTCACATGACAGTTTACATTAGTCGAGCATAGAAAAAAAATCAATGATGGATTTACCTGAGCGATTGTTCTCCAGTGGCATTGTTAGTGTTCCCTTGCAGAGATTGCTGAGTTGTGATTCGATATTACATAAAAACAAGGTGGCTTCATTGAATGGCTTGGACAACTCCTGCTTGTATCTATGAAGAACTTCGCAGTATGACTCCTAACATGCGTCACAGTTACAATCAAAATCTTCATTCCAAAACTCAACGTACAAGTCTAACAATCTTATATAATTCGAGCAACATATGTGAACATAGCAACCCCTGAAAAAATTGTTTTTAAGATGAAGAAAATACCATAAACTCGTCAAGCTCAGGATCATCACCTATCTCACGAACAGAATCCGTAGAATGTCTTTCACAGGATATTTCTTCAAGAATTGAAGCTAGTTCTGGTGGTGCTCCAACCTTCCAATAATTAAAAACACAGCTACCATATTTAGTATTCATATTAGTATGCGAGTTGGTAAATATTTAATTTTGGTATTAAATTCGATTTTCATTTATAAAATATTGAATGAATATAAATTCTTGTTACTTTGCTTGTTAATTTTCCTACTAATTAAAATATGCTAGACATAAAGATGGAGCCATGCTATGAAGAAGAGAAGAAGGCCAATTAAATAGAAACTTGAAAAAAAATAAAATTAATGGGAGTGGGATTGACATAACCTTCCGACAGTCTATGTAAGCAGATACTAGATTTGGAAAGAGAGGGTGAGTAGAGATCTGAGTCTTGATGAAGCGATCCGAAGTTTGGGGGTGTTGGAGGTGAAGGAAGTTATTAGCCACAAGTCCTAGATTTAATTCAGATGCAGCAGTAACGTTGACTTCTCTAACAACATCCTCAGGGCAAGACAGAAGAGGGTTCAACTTGTAAAAATCTTCCATGATATATATCTCTATCTAGCAAGGGCAATCAACTATATGCAGTGAAGGAAGTAGGTCTAAAGTTGAGTCCAGCTCTCATGAATAGTCAAATTGTAGAAAACGAAACACGTTGTGGAAAAGCAAGAAAAAGATCTAGCTTAGTGTGGAAAGTGGAAAGCATGCAGGTTTGTTGTAGGTTTGAAAAATAGAATGAGTGAAGAAAATGGTGTGTTGTTGATGGATTGATGAAAAGGAAGGGTGAGAGGAGAAAGTTGGGTTATTACTCACGGCACTTGGAAAGGGACAAGACGTTGGTTTTTCTTTTCCAATAAAACCTGAGGAAAAGGAGAGAGAGAGTGTGTGTGTGTGTTTATGGTGTGATGTATCTGGCAACACTACACTACACTACACAAGTGCAAAGGCAGAAGACAGAAGAGTGTAACAGTGGAAAGGATTTGACAAGGTTAAGGTACTTATGCACAGTCGGTTTATGTAGATGTCAGTCACTAATTTTCACCTCGATGTGGGACCAATTACCTCGTGCATCGCCAGTTACCAAGTTATCATCTTTGCTTTCTTCTGCTAACTCCAACTTCACATGCTTGCCTTCTCTCTTCCACTTCTAATATTTATTTTGTGTATATTAAAAAAAGTTATATTTATAATTTTTTATTATTAAAATATGTTTTTTCTGTTAAATGCAATTTTGAACTAAGTAACCAAAGATACAATTAATACATCTACATATTCAGAATTTGAATCCATGACCACCGGTTAAGTTCATCAATTTCTTACATGTTCATCTACGTACTCGTCGTTAGTAGAATTGATTCTATTTTACATATTGAATTGAAACAAAATTATTGAGGATGGTAATGTTAATTTCTTGAGAACATAAAAGACATGGAGAGAAGCTAGGGTTTGAAAGTGAGACAAAGGGTGGAGGAGGAACAGTTTATAGAGAGCCATTCATGGAGATGGACCTGACAGCTTTTCAATCATTTGTGTTTTGGGTTGGCATCCCTCGTTAATGATGTCTACTGGGTAGGTCCCTTCCAGCATAAACTTGTTCCTTTTAAATTTGTGTTCTTGCTTTACCCTTCATCAATATATTCTCCCTTTCTTCTTTGTTGGTATGCATTTTCATTATTTAGTTTTTTTATTACTTAGCTCCTTATCACAGATCTCCCTCTTGGAATCACAACTTTCTCATCCATTGTTCTTATGGCTTTTTCCCATATTGGATATGGAATCAATAATTCCGTGAACGGAATGATACAAGTATAACTTGACAAATTCTCATAATAATTTAATGTAGGGTCATATATATATACATGCATTTTCATTAAATAAAACGTTGATATTATATTACCATTCAATATGTTTATTAACAAAAGGATATTGTTGAATATACAAGTTATTACCACCATTCGATATTCAATGTCGTAAATAAAGGAATATCGGATCCTTTGCAGTAATTTTACAATGACAATATTCGAAAAAAGAAAATCAACTCTCGCACTAAAGATGAGATATAAAAAAAACAAAATATATAAGTAGAAGTAATTTTTAATATATAAATTAATTTTATAAATTTGAATTAAACTTATAATTTGTATTATAAGGTGATATTAGAATTGCATGTAGTCCATTAAAAAGACTACATATCATTTATTTATGCATTATTTATTCACCATATATTTTACAAGGTGAAAAACAAAATATATAAATAAATCACTTTATAAAGTTAAATTAGACCCACATTCTATTTTTTTTTTTAAGAAAGAACATAATCATTTTGTGAAAAATATGTAATATATTTAATTAATGTAGAATATTTTATTTTATAATTGAGGTAAAGATTAATCGGTAAAGTCATGTCAATTGACTTTATTTTATTTTTTTGAACTGAGGATTTATTTATTTTTTTGTTATTGTGCTCCAAAAGACTTTAACTAGTTTTCTATTAATCCACTATTTAGGTCATCATTAATGTATTATATAATTTTTAATTTGATATATTTGACTTTAATAAAATAGAATTTCAAAATTGAGTGTAATTAATTAAAATGTGCACTCAAATTAATTTCAATTACAAAGTTTAGATTAAAAGCTATTCACAATATAAGAAATTTATTCTTGATGGACAATATATAAGCTATTCACTGCAAGCCATACACCCCAACCATAGGATTTTATAGCATCAATAAAGATGCAGCTACATTCAATCTTCATCCAATTTATCCGCAAGTAATCCTTCACTAAATGATGGAAAAGTTTGTGCCTTTGCACTTGGAGAGCATAACCATTTTTTTTCTTCAAAAATTGTTCAGATTGAAATAAATTGAATTCAGATGAACGCTACATTTTTGGTGACGGCAAAGATTATTTCCTACAATAGAACTAGATATGTGAATATTCTCCAAAACTCTGAAAACTTGTTTTTATTAACTTTTGTTGATTCAATTGAAATTCTCATTTACTTGGCAAAGGTCGTCCTTCTTTATCCTATATTTGGGGTTGGGATTGATTGTAGTTCTCCGCAATAAGTTTTATTCACCCGAAATTGCAGAGAAAACTTAAATATTTCTCTATAATATTTCATAAATTTTATTCACCTCTAAAATAGTTTTACAAACCTTTACTGTTGTTTTTTTTTTTAACAGGCTCTTTCGTTTTTAGTTCCTAAAAAAATCATTTATACAAACTCTAATTTATCTTCTTTCTTTTTCTCCATTTTTCAGTTTCCCATTACAAAATCAGTGCCGTCGCTAACGACGTTCCACCTTGTTACTAAGCTTGCTTCTTGTTACAACGAAACATCATCTGGATTGTTACACGTCACAATACTACAAAATACAAAATGTCCTACCAAAATTATTGAGTGAAAGAGCGTAACTCAAGTTTTATGCCGAAAATTTGCAAAAACTTTGATTATTGAGTGTGTCAAAGTATCAAGTTTGCTAAATAAGAAACCATTTTAATTTTTAATACTTTATTTTAAGTCTTAAATACTACTTCCTCTATACCTACATATAAGCAACAAAAAAAAAAAGAAGCTTAAAACTTTTATAATCAAATATAAATAAATTTTAATCAAGTCAACTATATTTAATATTTTTAATCTAAAAATACTTATAAAATAATAAATAAAAATACTATCTATACTAAATACAATTAAGAATATTTAAATGAATATAATATATATTTTATATAAAATTATGAAAATTAAATATATTTAATTATCTTTTTTAATCTGTGTAATTCTTTTACGTATATATAGATATAGAGAAAGTATTAATTTTATAAATACAACGCTTGTTATTTTCTTTTTTACCTTTACTCTCCACATATTGTTTTTATTTCATCCATAAATTATTAAAAGCTTATCATTATACATGTTACAACTTGCGGCTATCTTAATAATTTTTTCCTATCTTTATAAAATATATATATATATATTTTT